GTCTGAGGCCGATGGGAATGTCATTAGTTTTTAAGATATTTGTTCATCATGAAAAAATACTTGACCTGACGACAGCAGGCTCGCATATTTTATTATAATTCATCCTGAGCATGTATGTCCCTTTGTTGAAACATTCTGTTCAAAATCGCAAACCGTGTGGTGGCGCCAGGAGAAAAGTCAGAGGGTCAGATATTTCATAGAACAATGGAAAACTGACCCACATCATATGACACACAGACTGAGGAAATTATTAGGATTCATACTCTGAGGCAGATATAGATCAACAGACCCATATTATCAACCTTAATGACAAGCAAATCTGTCGCTTGACAACCTAAATCAGATGCGACTTATCTTCTCCAAACTCACAACCACTTACTAGGGCTGGAGTGAACTTGACACATCTTGGCTAGACATTTCTGAATGCCTCTCAAAGTGAACTGAAGGAAGTTTTGGCCCAGCTCCTAGTCTCTGAATGACTGGATGAATGCCTACAATGGATAACACACTGAGCTCTGAAAGCCAATGTTGTAGCAACAAGTCCACACAGCTCAACAAGCTGTTCCATTTCTTTACCGTCAGTGGTGGAGACATTGATGTTTAAACTAAGGACAGCTGCCATCCGGACTCGGACACTGGCTGCTGCTCATGTCATCATGTGCTGGTCAGACCTACATCAAGTATTTTTATCCCCAGGCCTAGACAGACACTTGTGTTAAATGCTACAGTAAATATCCAGACAGCTTTGTGAATCTGCACAAAAACCTAGAAGTCACAATGGGTGGCTGCCACTTGTTAATTTGGGCGATAGGATTCTAATCTTCCTTCTAATAAAGCCTCAGAAATGTTAGACAACCAAGTTCATATCAGTTCAATATTTGAACTGACATTTGTACCAGTCTGATTATGATTCTAGGTTATAGCTGTAATTTGAAAATCATTCTGAAACTTTTTGAGGTCAGTTTTTCAAAGTTTTTCAGACGTTTATCACTTCTGTTGTGTACTGACATTGAGACTGTGTCGGTGCTGCTAATTTGGTTTACTGTAGTCCATCTGGTCTGTTTCCATGGTGATGGCCACATGTTTTTGTTTATTCATTTATATGAGGATATTTATGAGCAAGACATAAAGGAGAGCTTGAACAACTTTTGTGAAAAGAAGCTATAGAAGATGTGACCTACCCTATCGGGGAGTCAGATTTCCTGGAGTCCTTTACAGTAAATCATTCTCATGAGACCCTGAAACATTTATCTGAATAATTCAACATTTTACCATCAGATTTCTGCCACTGAGGAAGCTTTTAAAAAAGCCACAGACGACCAGAGTTTGATGAATAATGTAAAAAGGACAGACTTTCTTCCTCTATACTCAGAGCGTCTAGAATAAAACACCTAACATCTCCTGTGGTTGAATATCAAACAAATGAAATTCGCTCTTCAAGCATAACAATATGTTTTCTCAGTAAGTTTGTCACTCCTTTGAGAGCAATACACATGTTGAGGTGTGTGTTTAACACAGAGCTCTCATCCGTGAGATGCGTTGGCTTTCTCTAGAGGACAGAAAGGCTGGAGGTAAAAAGCAGAGGAAAGAAGTAATGATCTGAAATGTGGTGCTACATGTCGACATGTGAGTGCTCACTCTTATTAGAATTTTTCTAATCACACTCTTCCTTGTGTTTTAGTAAATCTCACACTGTTTCTAATGTTGAACAAGTAAGCCTTTTTGGATTGTAACTGACCCCAGCATTCTTAAATCCCAAACACAGTGTGTGAGGATAAACATCTGAGGGATTATATACAGTAGATGACAAAGCACAAGACATTTAGATGCTGTAGGTCCATCTGATGTACTGTGCAGCCACAAACATGAATTTTAACATTTAAATATTTCACTTTCTAGGTGTGGGCACATAATCGACTTGGTGTGGCTGAGGGAAAGGCCACAGCTTGGATTAAAATACTTACTCAAGGTCACATACTGCATACAGCTTTTTTGTCACATTACAATAACTGGTTAAGGTTCAACAAGTCCTCCAGACCAAATGACCACACACATTGTTTGTCTCTACCCTCTGATACAAGCCGTGGGACCATTTGTGTTGTAGAACGATGGTATCATCATTAAAAGAAAGATCACTGACTGTTTGAAATGGCCAGCCGCCTCCTGTGTTGGTCCAGTGTTTAGTCTCAGTTGGTTTACCTTGCCTACTTAGAATAAAGGTTGAACTGGAATATGACTATGTGCTCAACTGCTTTGTGCACACAAATGTAGATTGATTCTAGGTAAGCACATCATAGGGATGTCTCCGGAGCAAAGCTCAGACCTATCAGTGATAAACCTGGAGTAATCTGAATCAAGCAGGCACAAATATGGAGTCACAGGCTCAGTCAGAAATCCCATCTCTCCAGTGTCGCAGACAACAAATGAAGGAGAACAGCACAGTTATGAACCATTCAGGCTAAACCCCTCCACCCAGCGCTCCGAGAGGCGGCTCAGGGTACAAAGCACACAGTAATTAGACTTCTATCCGTACATCTCTGCTTTCCTCGGTTGGGAGAGAGGGGTAGCGGGTGAGAGAAGGGAAGAGCAGAGTAAAAGAAAAGGGAAAAGAGCTGCATGTAAGCACATCTCTCACATCTGACGCTGTGCATGTAAGATGAAACCTGCTATTTCATTCTCTTCACATCGCTGCATTGACTGTCTGAGGAAATATTAGATTAAAGTGCTTATTATCTACTGTTTAAAGAGGAATTAATGGATATATAACAGGAATGCTCCATTTGATGTATGGAAAGAAAGAAAGAAAGAAAGAACACGTGAGAAAAAACTGCATAAAATATTAAATGGAACGTAAAAGTAAGTAAGTGAGTGAAAAACGAGACTGGCACGGGCACATCTGTGTGTGAGAGAGAGAAACAGAGCAGCTCGGCTGGACCCTGGACTTAAATCTGAGAGACAAAGGTCTAAATTTGCCACAGACAATTTCAGCAAAGGTAGCTGAAACCTTGACTATAGGACACCTATCACTTTCCCCAGCAAGCTAACACACACGCAGTCTGTTACAACAAGGTCAACATTTATACTTAGCGTACAGTATATTTTGCCTGTGTCCATCTTAGTTGTGGTAGAAGAGAAATGGGAAGAAGCTAGTGAAGAAAAATGGCAGACAAACAGAAAGCAATTGAAGAACATGTAGAGACAGTGACATATTTATATAATATCAGTGAAGTATCTCACGCGTCCCTGGAGTGTAAATGACTTCTGATTACTGCGTTGGTTGTATGACTTTGCGGTGACATCGTAGGCTGAAGTGCTGAAAGATGGGAGAAAGCCATTTGTCTGAGTTCACCACGCTTTTACACACATCTCACTGATTAGTGATGCATGAGCTGGCAGCCTTGGCAGTAAAGTCATTAGCAAGCAAGTGCTGAAATTTGTCTAGTAATTTATTAATTCCTAAAAATTCTCATTAATTTCCATGTGTGTTGCATCTACACCATGCATTCTATCATGTCCATCAGACAAAATGTGTAGAAATATAACACAGAAAGAATCTTTCTTGCAAAATAAAATGAAACAAAACAGTGAAATTTGAATTTCTAACACACAGTGAAGTTGTTTACAGCAGTTTGCTCTTTTGCTGTAATAGATGAGATTAGGAGCGCGCGCGCGCACACACACACACACACACAGAGTTTAATTTGTGATCTTTGTATAGTACATTTATGCTTTTGTGCATATGTTAAGTAATCCAAACATGTTGGTCTATGTATCACGCATAATGAGTGATAAAGTGTGTGTAGTAATTAGTATCTTTAGGCACCTGGAACACTTCTCTAATTACCCCCCTGCTGTTGTGATGCATTTCCCAGTGAAAAGGGACACACCGGTCTGAATACTGACAAGAAACACCAAGCCAGCAGTGCAGTTAGTCACATGTAGCTGTTTACTGTCTGTAAAGCCCCTTTTCTACTTTCTAAAGTGTTAGTAGAGCAGTGTGACTGGTCAGTGTGGCACTTTCTTAAGAAAAGCTGCAGCATGATGCAGTAAAATGCAAACATACAATCCCCCGATGAAAGGTGAGGACACCTATTTATAAATGATTAGATGAGTAAACAATAGGATGTATTTTGGACAAGATGCTTTTTCTGCAGACTGAAGTACTATTTTAAATGCAATCAATCTACTGTATATAGGCCTGTAGATATAAGTAAAGTTTAATAATCATGATTATGAAAACTGTTTACACTACAGACATTCAACGTTAATGCAAGTCTGACACACTGTCCACACTCAGCCCTGCAGGCAGTGACAGCCATCTCCACCTTTCCCTGATTTCATACATGACGTTCAGTAACCTGTGCACAAAGACTCAGCTGAACCCACGCCAGGTGTTCGAGACCACTTTTTTCCTCTCTTCCTCACCAGAGATGTGTTGTTGGTGACACCGCGATGTCCAGTGACAGGAAGTTTATGAAAAGGGAGCAAAAATGTAAAAGTTGCATCTACAATAGCGTCTGTGGTTCTCCTTCTGTGTTATGCACAGATGAGACTTATCTGAGGCAGAGGCTGAGCTGAGGTCCTGACTGTGATATCTGCAAGGAAAAATGGCTGCATGTGTTAGTGCATATGTGTGTGTGAGCTGTACTGTACTGTGCAAAGAAAAGTTGAGGTTTCTATTGAGGTGGCTCGGGTCATCCTTGGATTGAACAAATCATCTTCTCTTCCTCTCAGAGTTATTAATATAATACTTTATTACCCATTGCCCTTGACCCTTATAACGCCATAAACAAAATAAAACAAAAAAGCAAAATATCAAAAACATTGAGTAGGTCTGACAAATTGCAACATCACATATTAAGTAGAATAAATCTCAAAGGTACAGCAGAGGTTGTATAAATGTTGTGCTTCTTTAATTTCACTTTGTAAAGTTCACCACTGTCCTAGTTGTGTTTTAGTTTAAACTTTGTTATATTTAATATATATATATACAGCCTTCTTCCTCCCTCTGTTTGTGGGTCGCCCTCTCCTCAGCATTCAATCATTCATCAGTTTTTTTTCATCTGCCTCTTTGTCATTAAGGAGCTCCCCCCGGTCCCAAAGGTTGGGGTGGAAGGGAGACAGTTTCTTTGAAAAGGAAGGATTTTTCCCACTTTCTCTTGTTCACTTTCTTCCTGGAATCCCTGTTCCCTCGTTTTATTCCCTCTGGTTCTTTGTCATCTTTGGTAGCGTGTCCGACACTTTGGTGTGTCTAGGGAATAGGGCACGGGGATGTTGAGGATTACGGGTCGAGGGAGCGGAGATACATGAGAAGGTGCATATATGGATGAAGAGGGTTGATGAAGGAGAGGAGAAGATGACACACTGTCATGGATAACATGAATCTAATCAGCGTAATAGAGAAGAGAGCATGAAGTTTCACTGTCAAAGATCATTAAGTATGTAAGTACCTTAAATACAGTATGAGTGTCAGTTGGTTATACTGAGTGTCAACGAAAGCAGAGGAAAAGTTAGACAAACAGTTTGCGTTACCATTTATCTAAGAAAGAAGAATGAAATGAAGGAGAGTTGAAAGACAGCAAGTGAAGAGGACAGACAGGCGAGGAGTAGAGGAAATGATGGGGGAAGGCAAAGAGAAAGAAGAAAGAGCAGTAAAAGCGCGAGTCAGGGCAGTGTCTGTTAGCACAGACAGGTGGCGCTGTGAGAAGTGCTCATCATCTGTAGAGCAGCAACAGGAAGCAGGAGAGGCCAAAGGTCAGCCAGGTGGCCAGTGAGAGCGGGTGTGATCCACCAATCAGAACTATGGAAGCAAAACAGAAAACAGATTTGTCTTGTAAATTTTTATATATGAAAAGAATATACTGCTAAACATTTATGGACCAGCTCGAGCTATTTGTTTTGTTTTCATTCATAATGACATAAAATATTAGTACAAAATAAACTATATAATTAGAGCTTCACAATTAATTCTTCTAAGCCAATATAGGAAAATGCTTGCTGGCATTATATTTCATAGTGCTGTATGAGAAAAATTAATTGAAGGATCTATTCAGCTCTGAGTCAGAGAGGTACAGTAGTCTGACCTAAAGTTGAAAATTAACGGGGGCACTTAGAGTAATATATTCATGACACTTCACCAACAGTCATCACTGTAAAAATATTTAAGGTAAAAGGTGAAGTTTTTATTCTTTTGAGGTATTTTTTGTGTAAATGTATTTCTTTGTTCCTTGTTACATTAACCACAGGCTACGTAGAAACATGAGACTGAACATGAATGTATGGTATTTATCTGCAGAGGCACGTGCAGTGGGACGATCACACTGGTGTGACAGTGTGTAACAAAAACATCATTTGAACAACATCAAACCATGTTGCAAATGTTCGAAGCTGGTTGTGGAACAACTGAGCTTTTGTGATTTCATGTGGAGAAAAAGATTGAGAGACTGGCAGAGAAAAAAGGAAAGGTCCGAGTGAAAATGAAGGACATAGAGATACGTGGTCACATGAAACTGAGGTGAGAGCCTTCACATTGTCGTGACAGCTGTGAGATTTTAATGAGTAAAATAAGCTACAATTGGTGTCATTGCTGTTTCTTTTTTTCAGAAGGTTGTTATTGCTTATACACAGAAGATAAAGTGCACACCTTCTGTGTGATGTAATTGCATTTGCAAACATGAGAGCATCTATGGTTATCTATTTATTTTCTTTTATGATAAAATCCTATGAGTATGTCCTTCAGTACATGAAAGCCGTGTAAATTCTCTTCTTTTGCATACACGTACATTACATAAATGCAGCCGCTAAATACACATGCAAGCTGCTTAAAGACAGAGTTTCATAAATAAAAAGAAGGTATTGTATTAAAAAGATCAATACGATTTCATATCAAGGATCCATCATCCAGACAGAAAATCGGTACATATAATAAAGCTTAGCTCCGTACACAGCAAACAGACATTCCAACTCACACCGGTCTTACTCTGGTTGTGAAGACACACTGACATAAACACATTCCCTAGCCCCTAACCCTAACACTGAACCTAATTCTAAACCATGACCCTAAAACCAAGTCTTACCCCTCAAACAACCCCACAACACAGAAAAGTCTTAATAACAATGGCACTTCCATCATTTTTAAACATTTGATCAGTTGTACTAAACCAGTGTTTACCTTCCTTTAGTAACAGACCATGCATGGTCTTTCACCGAAGTGCTGTTACTTCAGTTATCACCACGGATGTAGTAAATAATATAATATGATTAATTTTATCACAATAATTTTTGTTCATATGTCGTTAGCATTTTGCAGTATGTCGCAGTTAGCCTCGGTTCTGCATAGCTTTTTAGCATCTTTAGCTAACAATCACCTTAACTCTCATGTATTACATACACTTGAGTCACAGAGATAATCTTTTGTTAATCTGTGAAATTGAAACTTGCTGAATATTTCAACCCTGTACTGTCATTTCATAACACTCACCCAAGTTCCGAAGCTATTTCCCAAAACCTCATAGACTCTTCTATAAATGTAAAGTCAAAAATAATCTGTTCCAGTCCAGGAAAAATATAATTTTTGTCAGTTTCTCAGGTAAACCAACTTCTTTTCAGTTAAGCAAAGATGGTGACAGGAAATGACGTTGTCTCTCTCACTTTGTTTGTGAAAGTCAAGCCCAGTCAGTGGTAGAAACACCTTCACACAAAACCAGAGTGACAATGTCATCACTTGTCACCATCTTTGTTTATATGAGACGAATGGACATATCTGAGAAATTGTTAAAACTGTTAGCAGGTCTCAGTTTCACAGGTTAACAGCTCTGTGACTTGAGTGTACACAATACATGAGAGTCACAAACTGGGGCTACTTAATTGTGAAGTTAGTAGCTCTCACCTGACCCTTATAACTCAGAATTAGCCCATTTTGGTAGATACAATCCTCTGTGCCATTAATGTGTGACATAATAATAATCACCTTTATTTGGCCAAGTATGTTACACACAAGGAATTTGTTTCCGGTACAGAACTGAGGCAGCCATCTGCGGCGCCAACTCACCAATGGCTCTAGCCATCAGGGGCAACGGGGGGGGGGTTCAGTGTCTTGCCCAAAGACACTTTGACATGTGGAGTGCAGGCACCGTGATTTGAACCTCCAACTCTGGTTGGAGACGAATGTGCTACTCACTGAATCACAGTCACCCCACATGAATAGTAAAGTTAAAAAACATATAGTGCTGAGAAAAGAAGTTTAAAAAAAAATTGGCTTCAAATAGTTATGCATCTGGCAGCAGTAACTGTGCAGACAACTGAGAGGGATCAGGACCACAGCTCTCAGTGAGTCCAGTGCAAACACTGGTCAGGTTTGAGAGCATCAGAAGGAAGCTAGTCTGAGCTTATTTAGCAGGGTAATGATGTAAAGCTTAGGTTGCTCTGCTCTGGTTTCTTTTGAACATACAAGGCTAACTATCTTACTGCAGTTCCCTTTAGTCTTACTGAGCTTTTGGGTGTCTTTTCAATAAGGCTTTCAGGAATCACTTGTTTACTTTAGGTAGAAACACTCAACAGAAATGAAATGAGCACTGCATAAGCTCTTATCACCACTGAGGCCAGAAGGACATCAGTCTCTCTTTATTGCTTAAGCCACAGATTTCTCATTCTCTGTTATAAGGAATGTTTTCCCTTTGGGATGTTGACATTTTCCAGCCATCCTTTGAGCAGCTTGAACAGTTTACTACACAAGAAGTCCTTGTCATATTACTTTCCACATATGTAGAGTCTCAGTCATTCCGCTTTGTTTTCTACCTTGGTGATGTGCATGCATCGCGTTGATGATGTTGCTCAAAAACCTGTAGTTAACCTGAATTAAATGTGTGCATGTGTGTGAAAATGCTTATACCACAGTCACAGCCTGGTCTCACAGTAAAATGCGTAACAGCTACACTGGTCGAAAGTGTACAACAGTAGTGTCACATACCGGCTGTAATATTGTGACATGCCGGTTGGCCTTCTTCATGCTCATCTTCTTGGTGTTTTATGACAGTTGTCAAACAAAGAAATGGCACATTACTGCCACCAACTGGACTGGAGTGTCGATGGGGATGTTAACATGTAGTGTCCATTGAAGGTGTATGGCTTGGAACTTTATAATATGAAAAACACTAAAAGGTGGTTGTTGAGGTGGATGGATGGGTCTAACAAACACCTGACTTTTATTCACTGAACCGGAGATTGTGCCCAACTTCTTTTGTCCATATTAAAGTGTTTTAACTGGGCCTTTTCCTAGGTTTAACCATCTAGTTTTTGTACGTAAAGGTAACCATATATTTTCAGTTTTAGTGTACTTTCAGTTTGTATAAAAACATTGCAGTGTCACAATTTTCAGGGTCTTATTGTGAGAGCAGTGAGTGTTACCTTGCAGACCAACATAGCTATTATACATTTTGCTGTGAGACTGGGTTGATAGTCATGAGATGTGTGTATTTGAGAGCTTATATACATCCCTACATGTACTTAGCCCTAACCCTAACCACTACCTGGCTAACCCTAACCTTAAACCAAGTCTTCCCTGTAAAATTTCACATTTCTGGCAATGGAGGTGACAACTTGTTGTGGATTGGTTGGTTTGAAATGAACTAAAATGGCTTCCTTATAGTATACTCGTATAAGCGTAATGGAACTGAGTCTGAAGTTATGTTCTTTTTGAATTCATCATACCTAGCAAACATGAGTCAAGTTTAATCCTTCTCTAATCCTCATCTTACCTCATCAACACCATGGTGGGAAAAAATTTGTATTCAAGACAGACACATTTGTGTTGCTTACAGTGGCAAACACTTCAGTCGCCTGCCTAATAATTACCCATCTGCCTGCACTGTAAGTCTGTGCCTGCACAAAACCTGCAGGACACATGCAGATCTCAAGAGCTTTCCTCTTCCTGTTAACACCTTCATCCATTATTCACTCCATCCGTCAGTTTCTTTACACGCACATATGTGCAAGATTGTACACATCCATTAATAATGTTCATGTGCCTGTGTGTGTGTGTGTGTGTGCGTGAGTTTGCATGCCGTGGTTGGCAGAGGGCAGCTCTTACTGTCGATAAACCGCAGGTTTTAGTCTCATATTCTCTTTCTTCTTTTGGTTCATAGACCTGTTTCTCTCTCCCTCTCTTTCACTCACACACTCTCTCTGTCATGCACACACATAGACACACACTCACAGCACAAATATTTTCGGTCACTCGGTCTTTGACCTTTGCTCTGTCTCCTCTGCACACCCCCTACGCACCCCCACCTTCTAGGTTACTTGAGCCTCTCCACACTTTTACATTATATACACTCATTTGCTAAAACTCACTATGTTTTTTTTCTGATTCTCACTCAAGGCAAAGTGGACCTTCATAAACAGTATTTAAAATGAACAAAATAGTACTCTGGAGTCTAGCATGTTTATCTTACTGGTGTAGAGAAACCGTGGTGTGAAAACAACCTTCCCCTGTTGGTTTCTCTTTCTCTCACTGTACAGACGCAGCTGTCTCACATATTCTCCTATCATCGCACACTTCTTTTCTGTCGTCTTTTGCTTTCTTTTTGCTTTTCGACTTTCTCTCTTAATGGTAAATAACAGGAGTTTTAAAAGAGTAAAAGGCCAATGTGCAGAGGGATCCAGATGATGAAGTGCAGATGGCTAAAAGAGGACAGAAAATAAGAGGAAAAGAGAAGATATAATGAAGGTGGGTGTGGAAGAGAGTGGGGTTGTGGCATGGAAAGTCAAGATGAAAAAAAATGGAGGAAATGTGAAGTAAATAAAATGATAGAGATGGAGGAAGGACCACAAAAGATGATGAGACTTCCAGCTCGCCTCCATGCGGTGCCCTGTGGTTTCCACTTGCCTGTGTACATCCCCCACACTGACAACATTTTCTCTCTGCGCCATATTTCCACACTTCCCAAATACTAAAGATGTTTAGTTCTCTTTCTGTGTTCCTTTGAAAGTCACGTCTCTACAGTAATTCCCTTTCCTACTGCCCCTCAATTCATTTCTGCTGAAATCAATGCAGCTCAATTCAGCTCCATTTCAGCTTCTTAGCAAGTGCTTTATTCGACTGAGAACAAAAAAGCTATTGCTTTCCTTATTTTGGTTCCCCTGCAAACACAGACAGCGAGTGGGGAAACAGCTAATCGTAAATTTCTTTTCTTCCTCCATGCGCTTATGTCTCTCCACTCAAAAAAAGTCTATCTTACCTGTCTTACCTGCACTGCCTACAGTGTTCGGTTCCTGCTTGCACTTCCCTATGGTGATGGACACGTCATCGATGGCGATGTCCCCCTCGAAACTCGGCCCTCGAATTCCTTCAAACACAATCTGTTTAGGGCAGAGACAAAGACAGATGGATGCTGGGAGAGTATTTCTGATACAGTAAGTTTGGAGAGTCAAAGACAAAGCCAGTGAGGAATCTTCTCTGACTAAAATACTTACAGTAAATAATAATGATCATTTTTTTTACATCTAAATCAAAATATGTACATGCTTTAATTTCATACTGAACATAAAATATCTGACACTGATCAAATAAATTAATGCAGTTTTGCTGCACTTAATAAAACATTTTGTTGAAAAATTAATAAAACACACGGAACAAAATAAAACTAAACAGAAGAAAACTTTCCAGACGACTTCCCCGTTTTAGCCAGCAGCCATCTGGTTTTGACTGACATCCTAATTACTGTGGCATACCAAGGCACCAAAAGCCCATCACACCCAGCTAATCAAAAACCAAGCGTATACTGTCTGCAGCATGAGGGGGGAACAAGCAAATAAACAAGGAAACTTTGCTGCTCCAAAATAATAACAAAAGCAATTGCAGTTGTTATTGGCTATAACTGCAGATGTTGTTTTATTATGTTTCATTTTAAATATGACAGGCACGGTGCCTGCTGTGTAATCATGTCTGAGGGATTTTCAATCCTGTGGTAATAATGGCTTATTTGATCTGTTGAGTGGTTTCCACAGAAATGTGCTGATGCACAAATGGTGCGTGGGCTTACATATAGGCTGCAGTATAGCAACATTTTCCACTATATCTGCCAGCTAGTCCCTGAGCAAGGCACTTAACCCTCAGGTTATTCCAGCATAGCAGAGAGAGGAGTCACTGTTGTGTGAATGTGTTCTGCCCGTATACCATGTCTGTGTACATACAGGCTGACAAGACAGCAGACAAGTGCAAAGCATGGAGAGGTGGCAAATATACACAACTGGCATCACTTTAAAGCTCCATCTGTTAACACCAACATCCTGTATGTTAGAGCATTTAACTCAGGAAATAGCCAGAGTGGGCCTGTCATTACTGTGTGTGTAAACCACAGCAAAGGTGGCATCAATGAACCCACCTCTAACTCACCATGCCAGACTCAAACCCATTTATGTTATGGGTAAATGAAAGGTGGAGAACAGTGGAGCAAACACCACAGTAACACTCTCTCACTGTAGAGGCATTCAGTTACCTGTGTTTTAATCCATTAGCGTTGCACTGTGAGCTCTGAACAGCTATGTCACCTTGAAGTATGAAACAGAAATTCATGGGGCAGAGACCAATAACGTTTGCACTAGCATAGAAAAGGAGCAGCATGACTGTGTGCATGCAAAGTACTTTCCCAGTCCACCTCTGCAGTGTAATCATGAAAAGTCATGTTAAAGATGAATAAAGAAAATCGGTGGCAATGGATTATTCCCCTCACCTAGTTTGAGCAGCCCCGGGCTTGTGTAGCTCCTACTCCAGAACTGCTGAACATTTCTTATCTTGATTTACTTAGGTCAGCTGATCCCTGCTCTGCCCAGTGTATGAGTACACACTGCAGAGCTTGTTAAAACTGAAAACACTGCCTTGTCCCAAACTCCTACACAACTTGCACAAGTGTATAAACCCTAAACCCTTTATCCCCATGTCTCCCTCTCTCCTCCTTGTCTCCAAATAAAAAAGGCCACTCAATTATTTTTATTATTAAAGGGGAGGGGAACACAAGAAACACAAGAGCAGTGCCACCTCTTTCCCACCTGCCTTCTGATTTAGCCCCCAGAACAAGAGATCTTCGTTGAATGAATAAATAAAATAATTAGGAGAACCTTGAAACTGATTGGGAGGAAAGATGTGCAGCAGCAGCACAGGCTGGATGGGTTTAGCTGGTCAGCTCATTTGTGCAACGGGGTTATTTGTTGTGTTAGGCAGAGAGTGGCTGTGTGGAAATTCTCAGGGCTAGTGGAGGGAACAGGCTAATTGACCAAAAAGCCATAGTCATCTAATTTATAAATGCTACCATGTTGTTTCTCCATTGAATGGTTTGTGGTTAACATTTAGTTTTGTTTTTTTCTGTGTAGCCTTTAGTCCTCAGCTCGTTCTCTCTGTAAATCGGTGTCGCTAATAGAACCAGCCCAGCACACTACAGGGTCCCTGCATGCCTTCTTCTGTACACCTGTAAGCATCAGGAGCTGTATAATTAGAGATGATAAGAAAAATAGCTGGGAGGAAGAAGCCAAGAGAAACACTGGCCTTGAGACACAAATATGCTAAATCACATGACAAATAACCATCTCTTTTAAGCTACATAACACCACAATCACACTGAGCATAATAATTTCCTCCAAGATATCAAACAGCACAAAGCAGTGTAATATCCTGCCGTGCAACACAGGATGACAAATAATGCTTTTATGTGTTTATTTTTCTGGAAAGGCTCAGGGAAGGAGGCCTGTGCCCTTTCACTGACAGATGAAGCTGAAGTGCGAGCTGCCTGTACCAACACTTAAACATCACTGCTGGGCACTGTGCTGCGGTGAAGTCTCTCAACCTTGGCAGTGACAAGGTTGCTTAGTATGTGGCCATGCAACATTTTAGGACTGACTAGTGATATTTCTCAGATACACTGTAAAAAATCAAGTATACAGTGTAGGACAGAATACCTAATAAAGCGCATCCTAGTAGTATTACACACATATGTACAAGAATTGTGTATACAGTATTCATTGCTGCTCCTGCTACAGTGGTCTGAGGAGAGGCTTCATGTGTTTGTGTTGCCAGATGGATGGAAGTCAAATGTAAATTAGAGAGTGAGGTGGCTTAGTAAGAAGCCGAGAAACAGAGTGAAATTTAGGCACACAGAGGTAAAACGCGTTTGCATCTATATAACCAGCCTGTGCACTTAAGAGCAGATTACCAAAGAATGCTTTCCTAAAATTGGACACCTCTCTAAGTGCTGGGGTCGTGAGACTGTGCATAAGGTTATGAGCCATAAAGACTCCTGCTTTAGATAATGTGCCTGATATTTAACTTTGACTTTTACTCAATACTTTTTAAAAAATCACTTTTTTGAAAGATGGAATACAAATGTCTTTTTCAAAATTATGGGTAAAATTCTCTCAACTCTTTTCATAGGAGAGTGTGAGAGGAAGCTAAAGTATGACAGACAGCATGTGTGTGTGTGTGTGTGTCCAACTTCAAGATCAAAGACTGTACAGTAATGTGTCAAGTTGGAGTTGTGAACGTGTCGTTTTGTCGAGCCTTGTAACCTTTAATGTTTCCATTGATGTGCCGTCCATATACCAGAGGGGACACAGCCACGAGAGAGAGTAAAAGAGAGCACGAGTGTGTGTGTGGGTGTGTGTGTGTGAGAGAGAGAGAGAGACATACAGAGACAGCTTTGAAATAACATAGCAGAAAAGAGTCGCTGCAGTATGAAGCACTCAAATGTGGGTTGGCCTGGTTTCCATCAAGTCCCCCAGATACCGAACACTGTGACGAAAACAGATGGCCTCTGGGTAATCCAAAGAGGAGCGAGTGGGGACACAAATAATCTACTACAACACTTTTTTCCATTGCTTTCATGCTTAGATTGTAAGTTGCACGTTGGCACTTCCCTGTGATTATTTTACACTAGACAAGAATGAGATCTTGATGAATTGAGACATTATTTGATGGAAAAATTAATCTGTGAAATCACCACAGATACTGATTAACAATATTTAATTTACAGAGACAGTAGTATCACAGTCAGCAGGTAGAAACAATTGTTTGGCACATCCCCATTTACAATAAAGCCTTATATTAATGCAGACCACTGGCTGGGCCACAGCTCTTGTTTTAGAGAGGCAGGAAGACAATCTGTTCACAAAGACATCATTACTTTTGTTGGATGGTGCACAAAGAGAAGGGAAATGCAGAGACGAGTGGCAGCACCTCAAAGGCCTTTGGTGTATGCAGTCAGTGAGCTGTGCACAGGACTAGAAGGCTTGAGTTCTCCACGGACATGCTCTCAACGTGAGGCAGAAATGGAAAAAAGCATCAATATGCAGCCGCTCCTCCGCTCCATGGAACCAAATAACATCAGCTTCAAAAGCCAGTCCTCTAGGAATTCAGCTGAATTAGAAAATCATATGAATGTTGGTCAAGGGTAAATCTGAGATAATAGGTAGAGGACAGTACAATGCTATCAGTGTTTACTTTTCTGGAAAATTTAGGTTAACGGTTTCTGAAATGGCAGAGAAGATGAATGAACAGTAAACTGCAGAGCAACAGCCAAATGCTGTTCTCATCAGTACCTGGAGTGTTTGGCTCCAGGGCAGTTAATAGTGGCTCATATGGTAAATCGGTGTAAGAAACATAAAAAGCTAGAAAAAAAAAACTGCACCCAACATCACAACCTAGCCTCACATCAAAATGTATAATAGCTACATCGCTCTGTGATGTAAAACGTACTAGTCTCACAACGACTCCAAAACTGTCTTTTTTTTTTTTTAGGATCGATAATTGTGACATGGTAGCGAAAACGAAAGTGAGTGGCCGACATTCTGACACATACATGGCTAAGTTTAGGTAAAGCAACTACTTGGCTAGGGTTAAGGAAGGCCCCTGGGTTCAATTAAAATATTCCCAAGTGAAAAAAATACAATATCACACACAGGACATGGTCTCTGGCTGTCTGTGTGAAAGTCAGGTGTTTGTTGGACCCGTGCACTCGCCCCAGCTGGCAGCTTAATAGTGTCTTTAATGTTCTATAGTTCTAAACTGTTCGTCTTCAACAGACACTAAATGTTAGCTTCCTGATCTATACTCCAGTACAGTTGGTGGCAGTAATGCACCACTTCATTGCTTGTCAGCCACCACAAAACAACAGGAAGATGAAAAAGGACACTGGGCTACAATATAAAACATGTTGGCAGGTCACAATTTTACAGCCGTTATTGTGACACTGCTACGTTTTACGCTGTGGATCAGAGTAGCTCTTCTACATTTTCATGTGAGACTAGGCTGAATATCTATGTGCTGTATAGAACCACTGTTAAAAACACAGCTCACATAGGAAGTTACATGG